CCCCAAAACCCCAAAACCCCAAAACCCCAAAACCCCATGAAGAGAGGTTATTGGCGTGAGAATGGATAAAGAGAGTAATTAAATTAAAAACAATAAAAATGCTATTTAAATCATCTAATCTTTGATCACTGATAGAGAATATTCTTTTCCATTTTTCAATTCTAACTAACTTTATTGACCTAAAATAGTTTTGCTGGCTTCTTTTCTTATCTTTAATGATTGTCTTAAACTTTAAAAATATGCCCTTGGTAATGCTTCTTTTCGAATACTTGCTTAAGACATTACTAATAATCCGTGTTCCTTCTATCCCAATTCCATTTATATACTTTAGAATAGGTCAGACCAGTTTTTTTGGCAATATTGCTTATTTGCTGTTTCGACCAATTAGTACTTTTCTCGTACTCCTTCATCAGAATGTGCAACTGATCGTCTGGTACTCTTGATTTAAGGGGTTTTTGTTCTTTGTGATTCTAAGATTAGGATTCTTTTCTGTTGTTATCAGATTTATTAAGCGGTTGATTTAAATTTTCTATTATACTCATTAATTATCTCGTATTTGTCATGCTTCTAGTTACTACTTAACCGTTTTACACAGGAAGCTCTGAACATGATGAAAGCTCAACATTACCGCCATCTTCATCATCATTGCCATCATCATCAAACTCCGAAAAAACTTCTTCATCCTGCTCAGTTTTACTGTCGTCTACACTTAAATCCAGAAGATGCTTAATCTTTTCATAAGTTTATACTTGATGTTGATTGATTCTGTTGTTTGATTCTATTCTGTGCACAAGCTACGTACTGGATCTGTTATTTTATATCTTAATTTATTTAGCATCTTGATCTTGATCCTTTAAATGATTCATGTTAAAGAATGAGGAGGAAAGGATTGATTCCCAGTAACGATTAGGTAAAGGATTTCTACCTTGCTGAAGTAGAAATCACTCCACGTCTATTTTGTCAAAGTCTGTTGCTGACAAACCAGAAATTCTGCATTGTGAACGAGTCCTAGTGATCATTGAGTTCATGCCGAATTATTTTTATTAATAAATTATTGAGCTTAAAGTTTAGACCTAATTTCATTTCAATTTTCTATAAAAATTTGCTAATTTATTATTCAGGCTCTACTAATCAAGCAAACTTTACCTAACGGGGTTTTGGGGTTTTGGGGTTTTGGGG